GCCTTCAGGCTTATCAGGGCGGAGTCTATCAAGGTTTAAATCCCCTAATAACACAAATGCATGTCCCTGCAGTGAAGCCCAGTTACAAAAGTGATTAATCTCCTCTTCCAGTTGAAATTGATACGTGTTTACAAGAGATTTGGGAGGGCGATACAAGCCAGCCACAATAACACGTCTCCCTTTGAGCTCAACGTCCAAAACCAAGGATTCGACAGTTATGTAGCTAGCAGGAACTTTTAACCGTTTGCAGATCACGTTAGATGACGCATAAGCCAAGAGACCACCTCCTCCTTTCTTCCTGTCACTTCGGTAAAGCTAGTACCCTGGTATAGTAAATTGTGCATCGGGATAAGAAGAGTCAACTTTGGTTTCACCAATGAACATCACTTGAATTCTTAACTTTTGTATAATTTCCCTCATCTCTTCAAATTTATTCTGATAGCTGTTGATATTCAAATGTGCTATCAAGAAATTAGAGCTATACTTCGCTCGAGTAGCCATAAAGCTTGCAAAATCACGGTCCTGAGAGTCAATCAGATCTGTATAATCCATGAAAGCTGGTTCATTCACGAATAAATCTTCAAGAGTGGTGTTACCAATTCCATGAAATGGTAAAAGGTTATGCGTGGAGATAGTTATGCACGCTGAGCAGACCCAAGTCTTGATTGGCAAATCCTGAATTCGTTTGTACTCGCTGGGTGTCACCTTCGCACACTTTACATGACTTAGCCCTTTACAACAATCACAGAGTACAGCCCGATGATTTCTTGCCAGCGTTCTTGAACACACACTACACTTGGACTTTTCCGAGGGCCCGGGGTTCAGAGACACATCCCCGCTTATTGCCACACGAGTTATCTGAAATGTGGAGGTTGAATTTGGATACCGCTTGATCCTTCCCACGAGATACCTCACACCATGTGACTCGAACCGACCAACACGACGAAGGCAGATAACCGAGTTTAATTCCACTCGAAAATTCGTACTGTTCGTCAGTTGTGTCATTGGAGCTTTTCCAACCCTTTCCGCCGTCATTTGTGATGAATAACAAGTTCTTTGCATGATTAATATGGCATATAAGGCCAAAATTGTCGGAGGACGAAAAAGGGCCGCCATCTTGGCTGACCAACCGCTGACCTCCCTAAGGAAATATGCTAAAGTTTTTATCAACGACATATCAAAGACATTTGCCAAGGAAATGAAAATCCCCGAATTGCATTTATAACTAACAATAAATAGAATATAACGAAATAACTTCAAAATGAATATATTGGTAAAGATTCAATTCGTCTAGTGCTGAGTTTAAAACATAAGACAAACTGAGACAATCTCAAAGCATGAGCAAGCAGTGGTAAAGGTGCTCTCTCGAGTCTAAATGAAGGTTGGTTCTAAGCTTTTTCATTCCTAAGGCTTTGTCCTAAGTTACAAAGAGGAAGAGTAAATCATTGCTACATGTTCATTTCTAGCTTTAAAGATTGTTTCTTTACTGAGTTCAAAAGTATTCCTGGACTAAAAAATTCACACCATTTTTTTATCAACAAGAAGCTACACGGAGTCTAAATTCTGGCCGGATTTGCGGTTCAGAGGGAACAAATTGACGGCCTTGCGGTTTTTAGCAAAATCGCTGTTGAGTGCTTTTCATTGTTTGCTTAACTTGGAGAGTTATGGAGATTAAGACTTTGGAACAAGTTGATACCATGACAAATTGGAAACACTAAAATCGTTAGATGAAATGCAGGGACTCACGTAAGTACCGCGGCGAAATCAAAGGAAAAGGAATACATTTCGGAATACGGAGAAATCCAGAGTGATGGCAACCATCCAACTCCGCAGAATAATAAACTCGGGCGTTTTACAAAACCAGTACAAAATAGAATCCTGCGTTTATCAAATTTCCGGTTGTAAAATTCGTCAAATTTTAACGCTGCGGTTCAAATCTTTCTCTGCCTGCACGAGCCGAATTCCCCTATTTTCCATTCCGATTCTATGTTAAGTTTCGCCTCACAGTCGCTCAATAAATGTTTGCATTTGAACGCGATGATCTTTGTTTACAAGGTTTTCTCCCGCTTACATGTAATAACAAACCTCTGAAGTTTTCTTCCTCGAACCGATATACCACAGAAGGCATTTTAAGGACCGTAAGTTTTTCGACTGACTGAAATTAAAGATATGTGGTAGTGACTTTCAGAACCGTACTATTTCAGAATAGTATGGTTTTTTCGTCCGTTAACGAAATTTACTGATCGATCCCATCGCCAATGTTTACAGAAGATGATTGAATTAATTAATCGAATTAAATCAATTAGCCAATAAACTTTAACTATTCCTACGGTTGCTGTTTTTCATCAGTACTTTAACAACTGAAGCGATCTACAGTATTAGGTTTGTGCTACAAATAAATATTTTAAAGTTTACTCGAAGATAAGTGTAAACTGTAACAAGCTTGGTTATCTACCCAGCACTTCGCGATTCATTCAATTACACCTTTGTTAGAACCTTCTTAGCGGTAAAGAGTACGTTAACCTTGAACTCGCATTATTTCAATTCTTACCATTCTTCCAAATTAAGTTGCTCCTTTGTAACTTGGAAAAAAATCGATTGAACGTGTCACGAGGAGATAATGAGGGGACATTAAGCACAAATGGCACAATGTATGACACATGAGCACAATCTCTTCTGCCTACTATTCGCTTTTTCATGCAGTTTTTCCCCACTATTGTCGGTAGACAAGTCGCCTTGGGGAAAAAGTGAACCCTCCGCCTTGAGTAAAAACGTAGAAGAATAACGAAATACACATAAAAAGAAGCTTGTATAAACACTTATGGCAACCACATGTATTTACCTGGTGGTCTGCATATAACTTGTGCTTCCAAGAGAGTCAGGATGGGGTACTGGAATCTCAGCTATCAGCTAAATTTTTGCGCACTTCTCAGCTATCAGTTAATTTCGATAAATCTCAGTTAATATTTTTTCCTCGATTAATATTTTTGAAATTTTTTGTTTAAAAAATGTCAAACCCATACATGAATTACTATAAAAGACGTTCAGAAGCGTCCCCAGGAATATCACTTTTTTAACTGTGTAAGCAAAGACCAGCCTAGCAAAAGAGAAGCACTAGATCGTGGTAAAGGATCTAATCAGTAGTATAAAATCATACGAAACACCTGTTGTAATACCCTGATGGATAAAGGCGGTACCTTTCGAAACATTGGCAATACACAAACTATAATCCTACACTGTGTGATCCTTAAGGTGCACGTACTTTTCTTCCATAATTGCCCTTACCGACAAAAGAACTTATAGAAAAAAGTGAATTGTAAATAAGTTGCAGATCGTTGCAAAGAAGCTAACAAAACCGTCCAATGATGTAAATCCCCGAAAAAATGTTCCTAGGTATCTAGAAATGACGTTGTTTAAAATAACCAAAATATTGAATAATGAAATAGACATCAGGAACGAGAAAATATATGGTATACCTTGATTATCCAACCGAAGATAAGCACGTACAACTCTCCCTGACCTTTTTGACAGGGCCTTCACTAACTTCATTGAAATCAGTATTGCCGTCATGCTCATCTGTCCCACCTGTTGTACTACCCAAACTTGCCGAACGCGCAACTGTAATCTTATCCTCATCGACAAAGGTTATCTGGACAGCAATTTGCGTCAAGGTGTCAGGAAACTCTCTCTCTTCTTCGTTGTGGTCTCCATCATTGATCTCTTCAGAGAAATCTACTTTCGAAACATAATTGGTGGACTTCGAGTACACCGCTGAGGGCAGGGCTTCGGCTTTGTCCTTTGTCGTCTCACTGCGAACTGTTCTTTGTCGCACGGGGTGATAGTTCTCAACCCACTCTCTCGTAGTTTGTTCACTCTCTTTTGAAATTTTCTCAGGCGTCAAAGGTGACATAATGAAGATAGATGAAATTGTGGCACAGGATAGAACGATTTATCGTGTGTGTAATACTTCGCTGACCAACTCGTTATCCTTTTCATAGACTCTAGCAATTGTGCCAAAATTCAAGGCATTCTGCAATACACTGCAATTTCATGTTTGAAGTGAGAAACGGAAAGCATTTTCAACCATCGTTGTAAGCAGAGTTTCTAGATTGACGTTATCGGCGTACGTAAGGCTGACACTCTGTAAGTTATCAACCAAACGAGGTAGTCCCTTGATTAAAATACCGAGCGACTGTTGTGTTTTATGGGATATGGTGCCCTGTGATGTATCCTCCAAAGCATATGGTTCCTTTACTTTAGCGGTGGTTTCTTTGAAATAACTGGTGATTCTGGCAACCTTCTGCGAGGTATGTTGAAGAGTTATTTTGTCTATTCTCATATCTTTGGCGTGAATTCCGAAGCTGTCACAAAGACTACAAAGCATTTTTAGAAAAGACACTGTTCCTGAAAGACCAGATGCCATCTTGATCATGCCAGAAGCGACATCCGTGGCAAAGATTGTCTTCTCCATTGTGCATATCCCATTTAAAAACCTGCAGGTTTCGCCTGTACCATCACTTTCTCCTTCTTGACCATCTCCTAAGATGACTTGCACGGAGTCAATCTCTGGATTGTGCTCTTTTCCTTGTCTCTTGCTGTCTGAAAGCACAACAATTCTTTCGAATGCTGCCACTTGCTTGACCGCAGATCCTGGGTGGTTTGCTTCATTAACAACGGCCTCCATACGTCCTGTTTGAAGACAACAGCGAAAAAGATCGCCCTCATCATTACTGCTTCTTGTTCTAGTCGTTGCATCGAAGTAGCTTAAGAGATTCAACACTGTCATCGACTCAATGCGTGAAATGTATGGGTAGGACACTACTAGAGTTGTGTTGCCGAGAACAGTCACTCCATCATATTCAAGAGCAACTTGTGTTATCGTTTTTCTTCCATCGTCGGCGCACAGAAGTAGATCTCCGCCAGCGGTACAAATAGCTGACGGCTTTCCTAATGGTTGTGTTAATTGAACTCGATCAAGATGTTCTATCTTGTCGGCAACATCTTTCAAATGTTTTCAAAGTCCCCCACGCAACACTGAGACAGTGCCAGCAACTGGAAGGTTGAAACGCTTAAGATACTCCACCAGCTCAGTACGTCGTCTGACAGAGTCCACTTTTATCCTCACTGTTCCATTGAAGTCAACAAATTGAGTAGCTGCCGACCCAGGCTCGGTGATAAAGGCAATGACACTGGTATAACAAAGATCTCTGGCATCATTGAGGCCTTCTCTCTTGAGGGATACGTCACATGGCTGGTGAAGACGTATGGTAACTAGATTTGAGATTAGTGTGTCAAAATCGTACTCAAGTGCGAGATTAGTTCCTGGAGGTCCTACAGCAATTGCTACTGGCCGGGAAAAAGCACCCGGAAGATTACTATTCCACAATCGGTATTTTCCAAGAACCAATGTGTGTACAACAAACTCGACGTTTTCTTAAATACTGAGAACGTTGGGGCACGTAAGGTGGACAATAGGCTCCTCAGTCATTCTATCCTTGTTTCACACGCATTCCAGTGACAGCAACTTTCTCAGCTTTGTTTTGGAACCCGGATCAACCGTGTTACGCAAAGTACGAATCAGGACCAAGTCCAAGTTCAAGAACCAGCTAGACCAACTACACTTTATGCTCTTCCCCAAGTGTACAGCGTCCGGCAAAGGTACGAGAAGGGCGAGCTCCAGTGGCAAGGAATCCTTTTCTGCCAACGAATTAAGCTCCAAAAGTGCTTTTTTGTTGCATTCCTAGCAGTCTGTGATCATAGTTATAATTAGCACTGAACACCTGTTGCATTTTAAATTGTCATCTAAGCAGTTGTTGCATGCTCGGAGTGAGGGGATATGGGATATGTGCCCTTTTTCTTTGCATGGTGCACGGTGCATACACAGACTTTGAATTTAAACACTCATTGCA